AAGCGCCCCCAAATATTGGTCAAAGGGCCCCCTGATTTTGGTCAAAGCGTACCATGATTTTGGTCAAAATGTTCCCAAATTTTGGTCAAAGCGCCCCCTAATTTGGTCAAAGCGCCCCCTGACATATTTTTATAGAAAAACGAAGTTTCCAAATCTTAATGTATTACATGTATTTTCCAGGGAAATTTTTTGAATAAAGTAACAACTAAGTTAAAATAATAGAAATATTAATATCGTAGATACTTTTTGCATTGAAATAATTATTCTTCAAACACGATATCTTAGTTATTTAATTAAAAAAAACGTGTAAATCCTTACCATAAAAAAGATAAGTCCTTTCACTGCGGAGTTCCGAATGACAATAAAGACTGAACGATAAGTGAACGGTGAACGCAAGGTGAACGTAGAGTAAACAGAATGAAGAGCGAACGGTGAACGTTTTGTGAACGGTGAACGCGAGCGCACGGTAAACGGTGAACGCAAAACTGTGAACGGAGAGCGAACGGTGAACGCACGCTGAACGAATGGTGAACGAACGCTGAACGAACGGTGAGCGAACGGAAAAATAGGAAAGTAGAACGTTTCAGGGACTGTAATGTGATGCAAAAAATGTTTCAGGCAAGAAAAGTTAAAAATTTTGATTTTTGGATCACTTCCTGTGACGACCGGAAGTGACGGCGGACGATCTTTTTCCAACTGAATTTGCCTACTTATCAAGATCTACCACTTATATAAGTGTGGTGCCTTAATCTCTTATCGTTTACGATATCTAGCTATGATAACTTCTCATTTTGAGGACAGAAAATCACGCGACAAGAAGTGAATTTTACAAAGATATTTGACGTTGTTCTAGTCATTTGCAGTCTAAATAACATATCCAAAAATCATTACAAATACTTTATCTATAAAAAATATTTATGGAAAAGAAAAATACTGAAAATATGCAGTTTTTTTCTTATAACCGAAAGTTGTTGTTTTTATTTCCGGTGGGACCGAAATATTTGGAAACTACGAATAAGATGCTATAATGTGATGCAAAAAGTTCAAAAAAAGAAAAAGTTGAAATTTTCTATTTCTTTGACCACTTCCTGTGACGACCGGAAGTAACGGAGGACGGACATATAGCACAAATCTTCTTGTCATGATCTATTATTCCTGAAAGTTTTGTGTCTTAATCTGTTTCCGTTCCTGAGAAATCGTCCGGACATGATCTCTTTTGTAAAAACGGAAATGGGACATATTTGACGACCGGAAGTGAACTTTGAAAAACTGAAAACTACATTTGAAAGATATTTTGATTCTCTATCATCCCTGAAAATTTCATGAGAATCTGTCCAGTCATTTCTGAGAAATCGTCAAAAAAAAAAGAAATTTCAAAAGGGGAAAAAATCATAATATGTTTTACGGTGTGACCGTTCGGGTGAGCGCAGTTGTACCATCAAAAACACTTGAGATCGTCAAGCCGCACGAGACTTCTCGACTAGCTGGGACGTCATACAACGTCACAAAGCTCGTCGGAGCTTACGGAGACAGCCGAGCGTCTGTTTGTTCAAAACTATTGAACTAGTGCAATTATTGTCGAAAAACATTGCAGAGTTATTTCTTGTTTCTTTGAAAGATTTCTACAAACTGAAAGTCTGATATATGCTTTACGTTATTATTTATTTATTTATTCGGCAATATTCGCGCAAAGGACATTGGGTAGTGCAGGAATTCTGGGAATGTTGCACAGAGAAATTTGGTTGACGTATGTACAGATTTCAATCCGAATTTCCTCTGTTCTTACACGTTAGTCTATTGAGCTCGCTTCGCGAGCGTCGCTTCGCGACGCTCGCTGCGCTCGCTATTAACTAGAAACTCTTGTTGCCACAGCAACAAAAACGGTCTTCCGTTCTTCTCTATTTGTATGAATGATCTTTTATCTATGTCAAAAAAGGCATATAATATTTACAAAGATTACAGGAAAACAAACAGTCGGAGGTGTAACTTACCAAAATTCTCAACGTTACTTTAGACAATTTCATCTAAATAACATTTATTAAAATCATTTTCAATTTGTTTTATCACTTCCTGTGACAGCGGAAGCATTTTACCTTTTATCGCTTTCCCAATCTTTATGGTTTATTATTCATATAAGTTTAGTGTCTTGATATGTTACAGAGATCTCGGAATGTTAACTTCTAATTTTGAGGACATGACATCACGTGACCGGAAGTAAATTTAAAAAAAAAGATTTTTGATGTTTACTCTAGACAATTGCTGTCTAAATAACATGTCCTAAAATCATTCCAAATACTCTATTTATGAAAGATATCTATGGAATAGAATGATACTCAATTTTTCGCATAACTGGAAGTTGTCGTTTTTGTTTCCCGTGGAACTGATATATTTTGAAGCTACAAATAAGATGCTATAATGTAATCAATAAAAGATATTTACGGTAAAGAAAAATACTGAAAATATGGTTTTTTTCTCTTATAACCGGAAGTTATCGTTTTTGTTTCCGGTGGGACTGATACATTTCAAAACTACAAATAAGATAATATAATGTGATGCAAAAATGTTTCAAAACAGAAAAAGTTGAATTTTTTCGATTTCTTTGATCACTTCCTGTGACGACCGGAAGTGACGGCGGACAATGTTAACACAAATGGTTTTGCCTACTCATAAAGATCTAATACTCATATAAGTTTTGTGTCTTAATCTCTTACCTTTTACGAGATCTAGCTATGATAAATTTTCAATTTGTGGACAGGAAATCACGCGACCGGAAGTAAATTTTACAAAGATATTTATGGTTACTGTAGATATTTGCAGTCTGCATAACATATCCAAAAATCTGTACAGATACTAAATATGTATAAAAAATATTAAAGGGAAAGAAAAATCTGAAAATATGCAGTTTTTCTCTTAAAACCGGAAGTTGTCGTTTTTATTTCCGGAAGGACTGACATATTTCGAAACTACAAAAAAAATGCTTTTATGTGATGCAAAAATGTTTCAAAAAAGAAAAAGTTGAATTTTTCGATTTCTTTGATCACTTCTGTGACGATCGGAAGTGACGGCGGGCAATGTTAACCCAAATGGTTTTGCCTACTTATCAAGATCTGTTACTCATATAAGTTTGATGTCTTAATTTCTTACAGTTTCTGAGTTATGACTCGGACATCGGACAAATCTGACGAACGGAAGTGAATTTTGTAAAAACGAAAACTGCATTTGGAATATATTTTTACTCTTTATCATCTCTGAAAATTCCATGAGAATCTATTCAGTCATCTTTGAAAAATCGTCAAAACAAATATAAGTAGGAAGGGGAAAAAATAATAAGAAACAGTTAAATCACTATAAGGTCTTCAGTCTGAAACGGAAGACCTTTATAATAAAAAGAAACAGTAGAATCACTATAAGGTCTTCCGTCTGAAAAGGAAGACCTTAATAAGAAACAATAGAATCACTATAAGGTCTTCCGTGAAGACGGCAGACCTTAATTATACAAAGAGCAATGAGCATAAGTAGAATTCCAATTCCAAGACCAAGTATCAAGCCAATGTTTACTCCACTTTCCTCTGACCTTTAAACGAGAATTCAAAATCTAATTATAATATACTTGTATCGACAATCAGAAAAAAAAGTTCTGCCATTTAGAAAAATGCTATTTGTCTTATTTTATTTTTCTATTCTGGTTTGCCACTTTTACAGCCTATGTGTCCTTTTTTTAAGAACATGTTTTATATTTCTTTGTAAGTTGCGTATTCCCAGAGAATTTTTAAAATAAAACTTTATTTAATTAAATGTAACAAGAAAATCTCAACGTCAGATGTTTGGATTTTTATCAACAATCTTGTTTGTGCAAACTGAATGCAGAGTTATGCCTCACTTACAAAATAAACTGATAAAAAGGGTGCAAAAAACAAATTTTGCTTAGAAATTGAAAACCACCTTCGATGCTAAAGAAAATAGCAAAAGACATAATATGTATTGAAAATATTGTCTATTTATTATAAAAATCATTAAAACCTATTACAGATAACCACGACGAGAGGAAACGTTTGTAAACGATTTTGAGAATTGTTACGAGGGAATATTGATGTGGGGGCATATTGCAAAACACATCCAAGCAATGGGCAAAGAATCAATACCTTGATAATACGTAATATCGCGAATATTAATGAGCACCTCACAGTTATCTAACTTACTACGGGGAGTCGAAAAAGGTTTAAATTTATGGGATACATGGCATTGTTTACAGTAGTGACAATCGAATGATTCGAACAATTTAATGCCGAAAGCACAATGTTTTGCCAGATATTGAACTTCAAATAGTAGATTGTCAAATAAGGAAAGTTAAGAATCTCTTATCTGCTTAAAAAAGTGACGATTTTCAATGAAAATTTTACGAGAAAAGTCCGCTTAGTTAAAAATATCGTTAAATATGTAACAATTTTCGATTGGCTCCTCTCAAAACTAGATTAGGCTGGTTCAGCAATTGCTTAGCAAGGTACTCCACCAGGATTTTTTTACTTACCTATCCTTATAAATTCTGCAACGATCGATACTGGGGTTTCATTAATTTTCGTTGGCAACAATTTTCGTGGATTTTGTAAAACAGACATTTTCGAGGATACGTAATTTTGTGGACAAAAGCATTGCCTATATAAATAAATGTCAAATTTCGTTATTCAATGAACATTTGAATTCGTGGATCTGCTCAACAACGAAATCCACGAAAATTGGTGCTCAACGAATATTGATGAAACCACAGTATCAGGTATTATCATGCTGATTCTCTTTTCTTACCCCCAGGTCCATTATTATTATCTTTTATATCTCCGTAGCATATTGGATCTGCAAGTGAAAAGTGGTGTCTGTTTATTAAACTCAGTTTAAGATAGATAGAAAAAAGATGCAATTCAATAAATGTAAATTTCAAAAATACGTTTTACAGTGTTTCTTACATTTGTAAACCTCCTTACTCAGGTAGCTCTCTTTTGGACAGCCTGTCATATTACATAGTCTCCAATGTAAGAAGCCAGTTGTTGTGAATATTGGACAGTATCCTACATATATTAAATACTGTGAATATATGTGTTGTTAAGATCATGATGAAATGTTTCTTTAAAAAATAAAAGTATTGCTCAACTGACGAATTGAATTTTCAAGTCAGACAAAATCACAAGTGCTTTAGATTTACAGCAATTTATAACAGGAAATTATTTTTTTACTTCCATATGAAAAAACACACGATTGCAGAAATGCTTGTCACTGTGAGTTAAAGTACAGAATAATTTACTTTTGTTTCGTCATAGCGTATCTAGCATCAGACAAGCCGAAGAGCGTAGGTATAAGAACAATAAATCACTTTTCAAAATAACAGATTTGTAAATTTGAAAATTTTCACCGACTTGATAATTTTGTACAGTATTTGCAAAGAGGATTTAATTGATTGATTGTATATTGTTTAACGTCCCTCTTGAGAATTTTTCTCTCATATGGAGACGTCACCGTATGCCGGTGAAGGGCTTCAAATTTAGACCTATACTCGGCACTCAGGGCCATTGAGCAGTGAGGGTTCTTTATCGTGCCAGCGCCTACCGTGACACGGGACCTACGTTTTTAAGGTCATATCCGAAAGACCCGTGACTTTCACTTCTGATGCCGAGCGCTTGGCGAAGGAACAGTCACTACCTATTTTAACGTCTTAGGTTTGACGCGGCGCCGCGAACGAGAATCGAACCCGGACCTCCCGATCACGAAGCGAATGCTCTACCACTACGCTACCGTGAACGGTACAAAGAGGATTTAAAATGTTATAGAGTTGCGAAATAAGGAGTTTATCTTTGTGTCGCGGGATCGAATCCCACTGTGGAAAGTAGAGACCTGAAAGTAGATCCCTCCTTGCTGATCATGAATTGCCATGAGTGCCGAGTATAGTAAAAAATTTCCATGGAGTTGTGGAGTCTCTCTTAAGACGAACGTTAAACAATATACACTTTACCAATCAATCATCAAAGCAATTATGAGCTGCATGTTTGACATTGGACGAAAAAAAAAATGAAATTTGTAATAAAATTTTTCAATGACAGAAAAATAGAACATTTGTAAACTTCTGTTGTTAATATTTGCCATGGAAAACTTTATATAAGCTTTGATTGAAGCAAAATTGAATTATTGTCGTCCTGTACAATTATGATTTTTCATATAATGCTGTACATTAGGCTGTCCAGACATATTTCTGCTGAAATATTTTTAAACTTTATTTTGGTCTTATTGATCTTAAGAGTTTAGATTACATACAGACAAACCATAATAACACATTTTACCAGCAAAATAAAATTCTCAAAAATTCAGCTCATATTGCTTTAAAATATGCAGAGTGTTTTACCTGAAAATTGTTTATTCGAAAAATATTTCTAAATTCACTACACTTAAACTTGCCACAACCTTTTCTGTACTCATTTAAAACATATCAAAACTTTTGACTGATCAGCTCTCAAGTCATAAAAAGTTTTATACAAGAATATATTTCAGAGCAAATTTAGATTTTAAATCCCAAAATATGACATGGCTAGATCATATATAAAATATTATAAAAGTAGTGAAGACTTATTATTCAAGTACAAAGCGGTCAACTTAGCTGTTCTAGAGCTCAAAAAGATGCTCTTTGACCCCTCCTGTTTTGCGAGTTTGAGTCACATTACAACATCACATTAGTACTCCCCTAAAAATACTTCTAAAATTCCTTGATATAACTTATTTCGCGAGTGTGATACTTAAGATATACAGTGTAATTTTCATAACTTATTATTAAATGTAGTAAGCATGTAGCTCTTGTCCTAACCTTTAGCGATCTTAGTAAGTCCAATACAGCTTTCTCTTCTAGACAATGTATCTTCCATAAGAAAACAATGGTATGCTTCATTTCCTTGACAAAAGAACTTCTTTGATTTGTTTTCCCATTCTGTTTTATTTAATGGACATTGGAAAATGGAGGCTAAAAATACACCTATAATGATAAAAAATACATGAAACAAGAACATGTTTGTTCCTTGTTATCCAACCCCATTTTCCTGCAACGTCTTCATATCATTTTTTAATAATAATAATAATAATAAAAATAATAATAATAATAATAATAATAATAATTAAATTATTATTATTATTATTGTTGTTATTATTATTATTATTATTATTATTTGTTCCTTGTAATCCAGCACCCTTTTCCTACAACATCTTTTTATCATTAATTAATAAATAATAATAAAAGTTTCTAATGATTTGAGTGTCAGTTTGATTTCACAGCCGCCAACAATAAAGGGAAATATAAAAAATAAATCAATATTGAGTAGATTTTTTTAGATCACCCTTAAAAGACAACGTGATATTTTAACGAAACCTTCTAGAGGGACGTAACGTTCTTGAATGGAATACGTTTAAAAAGGCAAAATTCTAGAATGCTAATAAGAGAGCAATGTTTTAATTAAACCTTAAGTCTTTCGATCAGAACAGCAATCTAGCTCTTGCTGATGAATGAGCCATGCAAAGAAGGAAAATAGTCAAAATATACAGTTGTTTCGAAAGCTTATAGACGACATTACGCATGCATTATCTTTTAGACTAAATATTTTCTGTTACATCTTCTCAATGGTTATTTTATCATTTAAAAATTGAATGTCTAATTTTTTTTTAGTGAGTATCGGATTATAGCACCCCTAACAATATTGTTAAAGGGATGTTTAATAATTTTTTTTTTATGTAATGTCTCTGTGTTCATATTTAAAACAGCTGCAGTCTTTCGTTTTTTTTAAATCTCAAATTGTTGCAGTAAGTGTGAATTCAGTGAGACGAACTTCAAGCAAATGTTCCTTGGATGATCATTACCCTTCTTAAGGGGGATCTATGTCGTTCTACGTCAAAGCAGCGTTATGTGACGTCACAATAGCAACGTTTGTTTTTTTTCCTGCTAACTTGTGCAACTGCAATTATAGTATAGGCATAACATTGTTATTAATCAATGACGTTCACAGTTTACAAAAAGAAAATTTTCCATTATTTAAAACATTTTATTTGATTTATGGAGTTTGTTAATATTAGCATCCTCTTCCTTTGCTTGATAATTCATAGCAATTTCAGTTGTGAAGAAATACCTCCATGATATGCTAATATAAAAGTGCAAAAAATACAAGATAAAATTCAGCAAAGACAGTGGCTTAAATTAGGGAAATATGTTTAATTTCATGATCACAATAAATAATGGATTCTTCTCATATTTCTTATAATTGCAGAATCTTGATTTTCTAAATACTTAATATTCAGACTGTGTACACTTATTTAACATCCAAACAAACTGGTGTAATCAGCCTTGATTTTCAGTCAAGGTCATTTGAAAGTCAGTCTTAAAAATAGTACTTTTACACAGAGAAATTGTGAAATTTACACATATGAATGATTTTGCTAACAGAAAAAAATATCTTGTTCAATAAAATTAAAGTTGTAACTTATTTTTGATCACTAACTAACAAGAATTGAGATGGTGGGAAAAAAACATGAAAAACTCAATATTCAATAAAAACATTTAATCCGAATTTCCTCGATAATTTCTTTCAAATTTCTCAGTTTTCATATATTTACATGAAATTTCATCTCAATTTTTACAATTGATCATATAATGTCAAATATTTAGATTTTTGTCGGATGAATATTCAAATGTTGAAGATTAATTTACAAGGTAGAAAAGATATGGTATTCGTGCTAATTATAGAACAAATTTAGCCCGAATTTACTCTACAGTTTCTGAAATCTTCCATTTTACAGAGTGGTGTATAAATCTATAAGAAAGATTCGTAACCCCTCAAAATAGGCAATTTGGTGTAATTATGACACATATATACATTCAATTCTTCCAGTTATACATTTCATTTTATGATAGTTTGTACAAATAATATTTAAAATATTTATTTCGAATTTCCTCTGTCATTTTATTCTTAGGAATAAGTTAGGTTTTACAATTTTATAAAATACATTCTGGATTCTTTTCACATTTTATATATTCTGAAAATAATGAAATTATACATGGAAACAATTCAAGATATGCACAATTAGATGACAAGAACAAGAGGCCCATGGGCCACATCGCTCACCTGAGCAATTTGCTAGGAGAAAGCACATATCAGATCAGAACTCAAAGTTTATTGAGTTGGGGTGGGGGGTTTTGAATTTTAACCCCCCAGGGGGTCATGGCTGGAACAAACTAGAATCTACACTACATGAGGATGATTCCATATAAATATCACTAAGCATGAATTTGGTGTACTTGAAAAGAGGATTTTAAAAGGTTTCCCTATATATTCCAATGTAAAACTTTGATCGGCCATTTTGGCCCCACCCTAGCCCCCGGGGTCATGATTTGAACAAACTTGAATCTACTCTACCTGAGGATGATTCCATACGAGTTTTATCTTTCCAGCCCCAGTGGTTCTTGAGAAGAAGATTTTTAAAGATTCTTCCTATATACCTTATAAAACTTTGATCGGCCATTGGGACCCCACCCTACCCCGCGGGGGTCATGATTTGAACAAACTTAAATCTACACTACCTGAGGATGATTTCACATGAGTTTCATCTTTCCTGGTCTAGTGGTTATTAAAAAGAAGATTTTAAAAAGAATTTTCTTATATATTTCTATGTAAAACTTTGATCGGCCATTTTGGCCCCGCCCTACCCCCGGGGGTCATGATTTGAATCAACTTGAATCTACACTACCTGAGGATGATTCCCCATGAGTTTCATCTTTCCAGGCTCAGTGGTTATTAAGAAGAAGATTTTAAAAAGAATTTTCTTATATATTTCTATGTAAAACTTTGATCGGCCATTTTGGCCCCGCCCTACACCCGGGGGTCATGATTTGAACAAACTTGAATCTACACTACCTGAGGATGATTCCACATGAGTTTCATCTTTTCTGGCCCAGTGGTTATTAAGAAGAAAATTTTTAAAAGAATTTTCCTATATATTCCTATGTAAAACTTCGATCGGCCATTTTGGCCCCACCCTATCCCCAGGGGTCATGATTTGAATAAAATTGAATCTGCACTACCTGAGGATGATTCCACATGAGTTTGATCTTTTCTGGCCCAGTGGTTCTTGAGAAGAAGATTTTTTAAAAATGCCATTAATTTTTCTCTAATTCATTATTATCTCCCCTTGGAAAAGGGCGTGGCCCTTCATTTGAACAAACTTGAATCCCCTTCACCCAAGGATACTTTGTAGCAAGTTTGGTTGAAATTGGCCCAGTGGTTCTTGAGAAGAAGAAGAAAATGTGAAAAGTTTACAACGACGACAACGACAACAACGACGACAACGACGACAACAGACAACGGACAAATTTTGATCAGAAAAGCTCACTTGAGCCTTTGGCTCAGGTGAGCTAAAAAAGGTGTGGGTCATACTCCTTGATTTTGCTTGAAGATCATTTGAAAAGTTGATGCTAAAAATAGATTTTTTCCTCCTGTGGAATTAAGAAAATCCAATATGGTATTTTAAAATTGATGTTTTGGAAAAATGGAGATGAATAGGTATGAATAAACAATTTAAGTCTTAAGTTTTATGTTAAAGCAATGTACTAAAGTAAAAAAATAACAAACTTTTGATCACAAATCACACAAAATATTTATTCCGAATTTCCTCTGTACTCTTTATAAAATGATATTTTAGTCTTTGACAATTGTTCATTTTCATTTAACTTTTTTAATAAAATCATATATTCAGAAAAAATTATTTTTACAACCATAGGAAAGATAGATGTTGAATGAATCATTTAAAGCACAAAAATGAAGGGGTATTCATATTCATTAAATTGCCAGATTAGCTCGAATTTCCTCATTTTAAAAAATATCATTGAACAAAGAAAATGCTGTCAATATATCATATAGGCTAATAATTTAAGAGACAGGATGGGCGGTTAGATAAATACATTTTCTCTGAAATGTGATATGATGTATTTATTGTGGAAATAATTGTTGAAATTATTGCCATGTTTCAAAAAACCCAAAAAATTTGAATCCGAATTTCCTCTGTTATAAAATATACTGGTTTCATTATTTACAAATAAGTAAAGGTTCTCAATCAAAATACATGTATATTTTTGCAGAGTTACGCCAAAACTTTATGTTATATTATGGAATCTTAATTAATAGATGTATTGTACATGAACAAATATATCACATGCGTGTATATATACCAGAGAAGTATAATTATGTATATAAATATTTATCGGAGCTAACACAATTACAATAATTGTTAAAGGCGCAACATACTGGTATAAGAATCAGCAATTATTCATAAAATTTTAAACAATACACTGTTTCTAGATTTTGAGGCTATACATAAATCATACAGTAATATAATTTACACAATAATACACAATAAATATGTATAACAATGATTTCTAAATATATGATATTTCTTAATAAATAAGTGTTATTTTCAGTATTTCTGGACATGACTATTAAAGGTATATGAGACAAATTTGATACTTTTCCTTTCAAGAAAAAATACATCAACTTCCTTTCAAAATTTATCTTATAATTATTGTATTTTTGGTAGCTGAATTGAAAATAAAAACCATCTTTAATCTCTCCTGTGTTACAAATAATTTATAAAATCTTTCATTAGGGAGTGTTAATAGGCAAATCTCTCGATCTCTTTTTCTGTAGCAAGGTTATGTGCACTAAGTCTCAAGCTGTTAATGATTGGTTTCTCTGTTCTTTTTTTCTTTAGGGGGAGGGGGGTATATCAGTGTAATCTACAGCATCTGAAATCATCAAAAACAACATCAACTTGATAAATTTTAGTTTGGTGAATTATGAACCTTTTCTCTTTTGAATATTGATCTGATATTATTTGTTTGAATGCTTTCTCAGAAATGATTTTTAATGACTTTGAGGAAAAATCTTAACTTGCTGAAAATTGAGAAAATCTTTTTAGTTCACTTGATGTGAGAATTTCTTGCTGAACATCTGTTCACCTGCTGAGAGTCCAATTTTTTTGCCTACAATTAAAAAAAAAGTATTAGATGTATGTTACATAGCAGTACAAATGCTGCATTACATGTTACAGTGTATTATACTTTCATGTTAAATACTAAAATCTGATTAGTTTAGATGCATCTAACATTCCTTTTTGTACCTTTAAGAATTTGTTCCTATACAAATCTATATGAAAAAAAGTCCAACATTTCTAATGTTTTGCTGAGCGGGCATAAAACAATTGATGTTTAACCACTGATGAGATGTTGGACCGGTTGATGAGATGTTGGACCGCTTACATGTACATCACACAATTGGTGGAGCTTAATCTAATTTGCGTTTGTTGATGTTTAGCAGTGACGGACGTGAAGTTCAAGACAGTACAAGATACATGTACATCAAAATAAATATTAAAATGAAAGGTATCACAAAACATTTATTGACTGTGTTCTCGAGCAAATACATTTTGTCGATCCTCAGGCAGACAGTTTGGTTCTTGGGTCTGAGAAAAAACGCATGTTGCCCTTGAACTCAGTCAATAATATTTGAAATTGACACCCCTTGTGTCATTTGACAATGGTTTTCTGGGGTGTCAATTTCTACTGAAGACCTCAAAAACATGCACTATTTATATAATAGTTATATACAGTTGTGTTCATATTTCTTATAATTATGTACAGTACCTCAATAGTCCATCTGCAAGCAGATTTTGTTCAATCATCCTGCCTAAGTCTGGCCTTCAGTCTTTTTTCAACTACAGGTAGTGTACTCCTGGGTAAATTAAGTACTGTAAGGTTGTTTCCTCCTAAGAATTAAACATGAACAGTTCTTAGACTATTGTTTTTAAATTAACAAAAATTAATTTTAAGATTAAACAATCAATCTTATCTGTATTTCATTTATTGATTTATAAAAAAAAATGAATGAAGTTTTTTAAGGATAAATAACACAAACAAACTTTTTTTCAGAAATCAGCATTATTTCTCACAGATTTACATTTAAATTGACAACCTGAATAATGTTTACCAAGTAGAGTGGGAGAATTATATAAAATTTTTTCATAGAGTTAGAAAATTGTGCAAAATTTTGTATGGAATTACAGTCAATTCTCGAATTATCGCCATTCGATTCATCGCCATTTTCGCAATACCGCCATGATTTCTCAAGAACGTTTTTCCTGCTATATAAAATTCTCTTTATAACGCCAAATTCGCATACCGCCATCCGCCACCCTGTTTTTAAAACAAACGTCCATTTTTAAGTGTCAATTATCTCGATATACCGCCACAGGTGCGTGCGGTCAGTGAGGCGCGGCTAATTGGTTGACGCTATCCCTGTTGTAAAGCATGCAAAGCCAGACAAGGTGTACGCAATTAAATAATTAAATTAGAATTAAATGAACAAATAATTTTAATATGAACTGTTACAATGATTTTGTTCTGTTGTTTTGTTTAAAAAATCATTTAGTCACGGCTTCGCCACGAAAGCGGTAGTTGTGAAAGTACGCCGAATACGATGTTATTTTGATGATCTCTGCTTAATTTAAACAATGCAAAGTTTGCTTAGAAATAATTATACGGTATAAATTGTGAACGTTCCACGAACAATGATGCCATAAACAATAAATTTATTCAATAAACCATTTTACGTACTGTCAGCAATATATCACGACGATCGACACAGCATGTTTTTTTTTTTTTTCAATATCAGACGTGCCGATTTACATGTACATAAATGCACATGTACATGTTTTTATTTCATAACTGCACATTTTGTTTTAAAGAAATTGTACATAAAAAAATTACTTTAAGTATTTTAAAATTTAGAAATATGTTTTATATACATGTACATGTAATTATAAGAATAGAAACGCTTTATGGTATTTCTAAGAACGGTAACTCTACTTCTTGTTTCCTAAAATATGGGAAATTCAAATCATCGCCAAATTCGTTATACCGCCATGATTTCTAAATTACAAAAGGTGGCGGTTTATCGAGAATTAACTGTATATAGAAGGCAAAACAAAATCTCATATCTAAGCACCAAGGAAAACCTACGATTTCTTTATATTTCAGGGATTTATTATTTATGTCATTTCAAATCAAAATCAGTCAAAAAATATATATCAACCCGCGCATCCATTTTTTGTTTGTGGTAAGTACCCTTAATATATATATTTTATTTTTATATACCACATTGTATAACAGTGTATAATGTCTTATATTATAAAATTTGTACTATAAAAAAACATTTTAAACCTAAAAACACAGAAAAAATACAATAATATAAATAATTTCTGAACCATTGTGTTTCATTTTCCTCCATAAATTAGACAACTGTTTGTTTCAATGTTATTGATATTTCCACATGCAATATCCCTATTTTTTCACTTTGATTCACAGGCCTTTAGATCGCTTAGAAAAAAAATTGAGGTGTTGAAAAAAAAGGTATTGAACTCTTTTCATGGGGTTCCTACTTTCGCCAATAAAATTCCTTTAAATCAAATGCTTTACAATTTTACTTTCTATGCATAACTATTCATATATAAACAATCTTCATTATTACCAAAGTTCATTCCGTAATTCCTTATACTTCTCGAGATATTCTGAAATCAATTCCCAAATTGACTATAATTTTTTTACTCGACATCAGCTTGGGCCTTCACTAATTGTAAAGAGTGAACGACGGGACAAATTTTCCCCGGAATTTATTCTAAACTCGATGAATATTTGCTCATTTGCATTCAAGCACTACAAGGTTTTTCGTTAATTTGATCATATGGTGTAACTAAGTCATAAACAACATTTTAGCGGTGTAATTGTTTTGAAAATCGAAAGGTATATAATGCATTCCGGGAAAAATTCGTTCTACCATGGCTTCATTTACTTTCATAATCAACATGGCGGTAGTTGTTGATGTAGACGTTTTCAAATTAATTTTTTGCGAAAGGAATATTATTACGGACTTAACGTTACAATCTGGAGTGAGAAATCAACTTTAAATTGTTGAAAGATTTTGAAAATACTCTGCAACTCTTCGCCGCACTTCAAACACCGTCTGTTTACATGTGAATGACAAGGGGCCCAAGCTAATGTCGAGTGAAAAAAAGTAGGTCATTTTTGAAATTGATTTCAGAATATCTCAAGAAATATATGGAATTTCGGAATGAGCTTTGGTAGAATTGAAGAATGTTTATCTATGAATAGATTTAAATAGAAAGTAGAATTTTAGAGCATTAGAATAAAAAATATCTTTTTAACGAAATTAGGTACCCAATGTAAGAGTTCAGTACCTTTATTTTTTTTTTACACGCACAATTTTTTTTAAGCGATCTAAAGGCCTGTGCTTTGATTTGTACCCCAGCGGAACACCTTACTTTTCTAGCAACTTCATAATTGAATAAGGCTAGTTAGTATTATATAACTTGTTGTAATCATATACAAAAAATGCTATTTTTGTGAATAAATAGTATTCATAAAACTGACAAACAAACGGAAATGATAAATTTCAATCCTCAAATGTTGAATGTTGATCGCGAGAACAAGCATACGAAATACATCGATCTTTAATATCCTTGCGAATGCCCATTTATCAATAAAAACTATGTAATTCAATTTCAAAATTATAAATTAAATTACTAGACATACATAACTTACTTACATGTACAATCTCACTGTACAGTGACACGACATGACCACAGGAGATCTAGGCAATGTGGGTTTGCAATCTCGCAGTTTGTGACCTTCAAGTTTCTTTTGGTTGATCGGGTGTCCCGGGCATAAAGAGATGGGTGAAATTGGTTTAATCATCCCTGGGCTTCTACAATGCTTCAATAATGTTCACAGCTTGTAGATTTTACAAAACAATCCTGTCGGGGTTTTCTACGGGAAACGACCTGGACATGTTGACATTCGCTACGGAACAGCGCATTTTATGGCAATTGTCGCAAATCAAAGAAAAAATTACGAACAACTTATATTTTTTAATAGAAATAGATTCAAAAATACATAAACTGATAAATTAATCAATAATTTTTCATTCAGATTGATTAAATATGTAATTTGCATTTTACGACTTGCAAAATCTATGGAGACCCATTGACGACGTAAAATGCTGACAAGAATCCATCCTTAATTGAATTTTCTGGAAAAACTAAGAAAAAAATAAGAAATGTACATATACGTATATTTACTAATTGATTTATAGTGTACGTAGATTTTATCGTATAAAGTCATTCCTAGGTCCTATTAGGTGTTGGTTGTTGACGGGAAATGAGGGGGGGGGGGGGGGGGGCAGAATGATTAGAATGAAGAAGAAAAGAGTTTATCTGTTTAAATTATTTCTTATCAAAACAAAATACTCGTTTTTTTTGCAAAATAGTTTTATATTCAGATGTTTGTCAGTGCTAACTTACCTTATTTTAGTGCAGAAAGGTCAATATTTATGACAGAAGAGTGCGAAAATAAAAGAGAACGTCGTATTTCTCGTTTATTTTACCATAAAGGTATACTTTCTTCTTTGTTTAAATAAAGAGAGGGGTCATTTCTTTCAAAAAAAATATGAATTACAACATTTTCACACAAAAGCTTTATAAGATATTACCTGTTATGCATGTCGGAATTTTTGAAAATACACCAAGAAAAACGGGGTGATACTAACATTGTGCTCCTTAATAATTTTTCATGCGAGATGAATTACAATGAATTTGCCTTCATTTTAAAGATGCAAGTCATATAAATTAAATACATGTTGATTTCGAATGTGATTTGACATTTTTGGTTCTTTTTAGGGCATATTTGGAGTAGAGCAATAATGTCTGAGAATAATCTATTTTTAGCATTTCACACTGTTTTTGCACGTGCTCCTGTGTAAAAATAAGCATATAAAGGTATTGTTTTTAATACCTAAAAATTAAGAGCAAGTGGTCTGGAAAGAAATGTCAAAGTTTTGAAAATTTCACACAAAGACTGTTCGGACATAGGTCCCCCCTTAAAGTAGATAAATAAATGTTCAAAAGCAAAATAAATGTCTTGAGAAATGTGAAATTAATGAACAGTTTATAGAATCATTAATCTTAAAATCAATAAAAGACAAACCACAAGTAAATCAATGGAGAATGTCTATTCGTATTTAGAATGAACTTGTTCACTGAAATATTTTGCTTTGAACAAACATATACAAGTATATGAATCTATGTAAACAAGGCAATACACAGATCGTGTTTTCATAACAATGGTTTGCAGCTCTAAATCTGTGTTGTATCTCGACAAATGAAATTTAAGTTCTGAACGGTCATATTAAACTTCATTCAATTTTAAATTTCAATTTTGAAAAAAATGGCAAAATTATTTTTTGATATAGGCTTCTTGATTTTATCCATATGTCTCACACACAGCTTCAACTTGCAGGTAATAACAGAGAGAAGCCATAAAACATATATAGTTTTAGGAGATAAACGATAAGTGCGTATGAATCCATAAACATGTGCAGTTATGCAAAGAAACCGATAAATCGGGGGTGCATCAATATTGTTTTGTCTTGTCTGTTTGTTTGTCTATTAATCTGCAGTCTTTTGTCAACTCTCACCTTCGCCATAACTTTTAGAGACTTAATATTTGAAATACATACCCCACTAATTAAGCTCTTTCCAATAACACCAAGATCGATGACCTTGTTGCCTTACTAGTGACCTAAAATCTTAAAAAGAGCTTTTCCGAACTTTGTTGACGCCAAGCACATAGTGCTTTACAAAAAAAATCTTCTTTTATAAAAATTAAAGTCTCTTTATCATTCATGTCAGAAATCATTATCGAAAAAATACTATAAAATGTACAAACCTTTCATAATTAGCAGGTACAGTGTGATAACTTGAGGTGACATCTAAAATAATGTTTGGAATAGTTTATGATTAAACAAAATGAAATAAATTACAAAAGAAGTACAGCTGAGAGATTTTGTATACAAATAGAAGACATATAATTTATACAAACTGTTACAATCTCTGTTTTTCTCTCTCTATCTCTCTTTCTCATTTTTTAAAACGTCATTATCCATGAAATTTTGTAAGTAATTGTTTTTCTGATTCCGCAAGGTGTTAAATGTATATTTATTTCCTGAATGCATGCTTTAATTTACTTCTACAATAGTATCCATTTATTTTTCCCAACTCTATTACAACAAAACTATTGAGATATTGTGAAAAATTTAAAGCATAAAATTTTATATTATATATCGGATATTAATATTAAAACGAAAGTAAAATTTTATAAACAACATATGAAGAAAAATCGTATTCAAGCATATCATGTATATTACTAAAAGAAATCTGGTAAAATATATATCATTCGCATCGATTTCTCCCTTTCTTTACTATCTCCCAAATACTCACCGTTAAAACGTAGTTCATGTGCATCCAGTGACAACCAGGAAAGGGATCGGAAAACACACTCTTTGTTGTGAGCCATGTGTTTTAATGTATGAATAATGAATCTAAATTCAGATTCTATTTTTAGGAAAGGGTTTTTCTATTAGATTGAAACTCTTAAAAATGACAACTTGATATCTTAACCTTAACATTATAAATCACAAATTTGCAATATTGCAGATATTTAAGATTATGTTCCTATCATGTACATGATGAGGGTGGGGGGGGGGGGGGGCGTAAAGAAAAATATATATAAATGAGTAGCATTTAATTATAAAAAATATAAAAAATTTCTCTCAGTCATATTTTGTAAACGTCATAGATATTGCATTCTTTCACAGTTTAAGGTTAATACAATCAAACACAAAATAATTGAATATACAGAACTGTTTTTTTTTATCGTATCTCGAAAAAAAAATTAAATATATCAACAATTAAAGGAATTGATGCGGATAATATAAGTAATATTCTAAATCAAAGAAGGGTCCATTCGTATACTCCACCATATTTCAGGTTAAAGACTACACCAAGTATTTCCAAGTAAATAATATAAATCGACTATTGATTCAAATTTAAATTTTGTAAATCAAGAGTAAGTTTTTACAGAACCTAATCGAGTTCTGAAAGAGAAAATCTCCTTTCTGTTCATGTTCCTCTTCACCCTAAAACTAACTAGTGCTAATTGTAACGGGAACCGTTACAGATGTTCCCCAAACGCTCCCCAACTATCTTTTGGTGCCATATTCCCTGAAAGTCTTATTAAATAAGACAATATCTGTGCATTATTTACTTTAACAACGTTTTCCAAGAAGGATACCAATTATATTCAAATTTTAACATTGCACGCGTGCGCATGTGAATGCGTGTGTGTAATGATCATATCATCTTGTATACACTTTCTATATATTTAAATATACTATATATTCAAGCATTTAGTCCAAAAGTATTAAAAATCACTCATTCAAGTACATTTTTAAGTTCACTCGTTCCAAATGCATACACATGCGAGCACGTCCATGATGACCATACCTTCTTGTAGGAGGCCCTCATACCTATCTATGTTATAAATCCTATCCTGTTTGGTTGAAAACCAAGGGAGTTATAGCCATTTCAAGTTTCAGCCAATCAGATTGCAGCACACGTGCATGTGCGTGATTTCGTGATTTTTTTCTCTAGAGTATATTGTAGGAGATCCCAATTCATGACTATGTTTTAAATTTCAAAGCATTTCGTCAAAAAACAAAGGAGATAAAGCCATTTAAAGTTTCAGCCAATCAGATTGCAGCACACGTGCATGCGCGTGATTTCTTAAAAAAATTTGTATATCATATAGCAGGATGTCCTAATGCATGACTATGTTTTAAATTTCAAAGCATTTCGTCAAAAAATAAAGGAGATATAGCCATTTAAAGTTTCAGCCAATCAGATTGCAGCGCACGTGCATGCGCGTGATTTCATGAAATTTTTTCCATATTATATTGTAAGATATCCTACTTCATTACAATTTTTAAAATTTCACAGATTTTCATCAAAAAACAAAAGAGATATTGAGATTTTTGTTTCAGCCAATCAGATTGCAGCACACGTGCATGCGCGTGAGTTTGTGCTAATTTGACAGTGTCATACTATTAACACTATTAATATATCCTTATATAATGAGTTTCAAAACATTTCATTGAAAAATGTTAAAGTTATGGCTATTTCAAGTATATCTGTCATTTCACTCATTTCACGCGCCCGCACGTGCAGGCATATGCGCGCAAAATGACCTTCGTTCCGCACACCTACACTACACACCTATTAACCCTAAAAAGGTTTTAGCTCAGTTGGTCGAACAGTTTCTGAGAACACTTCCGGACAAAAAAGTACCGGAGAACAAATAAGAAAAAAAAGAATAATAATAATAATAACTAGTGCTAATTGTAACGGGAACCGTTACAGATGTTCCCCAAACGCTCCCCAACTTCCTTTTGGTGCCATATCCTCTGTAAGCTTCATTAAATAAGACAAACACTGTGCACTTTTGACTTTAACAACGTTTCCCCAGAAGGATACCAATTACATTCAAATTTTAGCATTGCACCCGTGCACATGTGAATGCATGTGCGTTATGACCATATCATCTTGTCTACACTATCTATATATTTTGATATACTATAATATGAAAGCATTCAGTCCAAAAGTATTAAAAATCACTCATTCAAGTGTATTATTAACTTCACTCGTTCTAATTGCACGCACGTGCGTGCAAGTGCATGTTGACCATACCTTCTTGTAGGAGTCCATTATACCTATCTGTATTCTAAATCCCATCCTGTTTGTTTGAAAAATAAGGGAGTTATAGCCATTTCAAGTTTCAGCCAATCAGATTGCAGCTCACGTACATACGCGTGATTTCATGATTTTTTTCTATATCGTATTGTAGGACATCCTAATGAAAGACTATTTTTTAAATTTCAAAACATTTTGTCAAAAAACAAAGGAGATATAGCCATTTAAAGTTTCAGCCAATCAGATTGCAGCACACGTGCATGCACGTCATTTCTTGAAATTTTTTGTATATCATATTGCAGGATATTCCAATGCGTGACTATATTTTAAATTTCAAAGCATTTCGTCAAAAACAAAGGAGCTATAGCCATTTAAAGTTTCAGCCAATCAGATTAAAGCGCATGCGCATGCACGTGTTTTCATGAAACTTTTATATATCATGTTGTAGGATATTCTAATGTATGACTATATTTTGAATTTCAAAGCATTTCGTCAAAAAACAAAAGAGATATTGAGATTTTTGTTTCAGCCAATCAGAGCGAAGCGCACGTGCATGCGCGTGAGTTCGTGCTAATTTGACAGTGTCATATTATCTACCCTATTAATATATCTTTATATAATGAGTTTCAAAACATTTGTTCAAAAAATGTAAAAGTTATAGCTATATTAAGTATATCACTCAATTCACTCATTTCACGCGCACGCACGTGCATGCGTATGCGCGCAAAATGACCTTCGTTCCGCACACCTACACTACACACCTATTAACCCTAAAAAGGTTTTAGCTCAGTTGGGTGAACAGTTTCTGAGAACACTCGCGGACAAAAAAGTACCGGAGAACAAATAAGAAAAAAAATAATAATAATAATAATAACTAGTGCTAATTGTAACGGGGACCGTTACAGATGTTCCCCAAACGCTCCCCGAGTCCCTTTTGGTGCTATATTCCCTGTAATCTCTATTAGATAAGAAATACTTTATAGAATTTAGACTTAATCAAGGTCTTCCCAGAAAAATACAAAATATATTTAAAAATAGGCATTGCACGCGTGTTCATGTGCGTAACGACCATATTATCTTGTCTACACTATCTCAAATTTTAATATACTTAAAATCAAAGCATTTAATCCAAAAGTATTAAAAAATACACTCATTTGAGTGTATTTATAATTTTACTCATTTCACGTGCACGCACGCGCAAGCACGTGCATAATGACTACACCTCCTTGTAGGAGTCCCTTATATTTATCTATGTTCTAAATCAAATCCTGTTTGGTTGAAAAACAAGGGAGTTATAGCCATTTGAAGTTTCAGCCAATCGGATTACAGCACACATGCATGCGTGTGATTTCATTAATTTTTATCTTTATGGTATTGAAGGATATCTAAATGAATGACTATATTTTAAAATTCGAAACATTTCGTCAAAAAACAAAGGAGATATTGCCATATAAAGTTTCAGCCAATCAGATTGCAGCACACGTGCATGCGCGTGATTTCCTGATTTTTTTCTATATCATATTTTAGGATATCCTAATGCATGACTATGTTTTAAATTTCAAAGCATTTCGTCAAAAAACAAAGGAGATATAGCCATTTAAAGTTCCAGCCAATCAGATTGCAGCACGCGCGCATGCGCATGCTTTCATGAATATTTTTATATATCATGCTGTAGACCTTCATAATGTAGGACTATGTTCAAAATTTCAAAAGATTATGACAAGAAACAAGAAAGATATTGAGGTTTTAGTTTCAGCCAATCAGAGCGAAGCGCACGTGCATGCGCGTGAGATCTTGCTATTTTGACCATGCCATCTTGTCTATACTACTAATGTGTCCTTACATTATGAGTTTCAAAAAAATTCATTAAGAAAAAGAAAAGTTGCAGCAATATCCATTATATTGGTCATTTTTCGTGTTGCACGTGCGCGCTCTTGCAAGCACGTGCGCGCAAAATGACCTTCGTTCGGCAAATCTACATAACATGTCTACTGACCCTAAAAACATTTTACCTTAGTCGGATGTGTAGTTTACAAGATCACTCGTGGACAAAATTTTCCCAGGAAGAAGAAAAATAATAATAATAATAATAATAATAATAATAATAAGAAACAGAGTAAAAACAATATGTTCCCCAACTTCGTTTGGGGAACATAATAAGAAACAGAGTAAAAACAATATGTTCCCAAACTCCGTTTGGGGA